GTTCATGGTAGAGTACTGGGACTTGGTACTGGGGTATGTAAAATCAATTCTAAATTCATGGAAGAAGATTAGGGTTATAAGAAAAAGGGGCGTGGCACTTCCAGTACACATTTGCTTTTTCTTGCCACATATCCCTGGAAGTGTTTGTGGAAGAATACTGGAATTTGGTATGGAGTTGAGTATACAAAATGTATCAATTGCTCATGGAAAAAATGTGAGTTATTACAAAAGAAGGCATGTCGCCTCCCATACATACTAAAAACTTCTTTATACATATCTCTGGAAGGATAGAAAACCTCTCGAAGTATTTTAAATTTGTTATGTTTTATAACTGCCGTACTGACAATAAATTTCATTAAATGGAAAAGGAAGAGTCGCCCTTATAATCTAAAGCTCATTTGAGGCATTTGCTACAGTAATGAGAAGTGGTATTTTATCAACGCCAGGTTACTAAATTTGAGTTGGAAATATTAGAACCCGCCGTGGCACCTCCAAGAAGGTTACACATTCACGCGTCATATACCTGGAACCATTTTAAGGCAAACTTAGAGAGATTGATATCTTTCGTATGCCTAGCGCGCAGACGAGATTTTATAATTTCATAGTTTTAAACGGCCTAAATACCTTAACTCGCTAAAAAAATAACGAGCAATAACAAAATGGGCACAGAAATAAAATCTAGCATCATTAATTTATTTTTCATATTTGTATAAAAGCGCGGAGTGAAACCCGCGGGTAAAAGCTAGTTTATTATAAATAAAATAAAAGAATAAAAAAAATTAAATAAAATGCAATCTGTAAAAGAAAAGAAGAAATTAAAATAATTTCAAAAAATCGAATAAACAAATGTTTTCCTTAAAGAACTTATTGTCGCAGATCTGTCCAAAATGGAAACAGTTCAGAAAAGAAAAAATATCCAGTAATCTAGTTTTAAAATGTTTTCTCATAAAAAAAGCAGTACCGCCTCTTAAAAAGCTAGTTCTGCGCTAGTTCTGAACTAGCGCAATTTACTGCAGGGTCGTTAAGCTTGCTAAACAGTTAAATCCGAGCGTGAGTGTGAACGTTCGCAAAGGCGAAGAATTCAATTTGCATTTTTATGGACGCTCACACACAACTGCCAAAACTTGTCGTTCACATGCGAATGCTTTGCGTACGCGAACACAAAAAGCTGATAGTTTTTATAACTTTCAATAATTACACTGGCTTACAGCAAAAATGTTCAATGGATGCTACTATCCAAATCCTATCTAGAATTTCTCGCTGATTCCGAAAATGTAGTTACTTTTTTATTCTATGGGTAAGTTTTTGAGTTTTCTCAATTTATAATCATGTATATCTTACGAACCAATCTAACAATCTTAATATGAAGTACGGCAATTGAAAGCTAATAAAATTCTCCATAAACCGTATATACATACATCACTTTCCGAAAGTACTTATAGTTTCTGACAAATTAATTATTAATTCCAGTTTTTTATATTTTTTAATGAAAAAAATCAAACTTTAACAGAAGAAAAATTTAAAAAGTAACAGATTTTGTTCAAAATTTTTGCAACTGTGCTAAAGCCCCTCCTGTTAAAAAAAAAATCAAGGTACTGCTGAAGAAAATCGGGTGATAAATAAAGAAACAAATAATTTTTAGCAAAAAAAAACCGACTTAAACTCTCACATAAAAAAAATATATATATATATATATCTCATGATCCACTGATCGGATCTTAACCAGATTAGTATGGCATCACCTCTGAGACACTACCTTTCCGATGCAAATTCCGAATTATCGCAATCGGTTGACGTGGTCCAAAGTTATGCGGTAACATACATAAAAAAAAAAGAATATTCCGACGAACTGATAACCTCCTCCTTTTTAGGAAGTCGGTAATAATAGTGGTCAAATGAAAATACGCAAAGATTTTTTTTTATCAAAAATCAGCAGTAAAGCGTGTTACTTAGGTGTACGTGGCGTATGAGTAACTTTTTTTCCTGCTCATTTTTCATAGAAAAAATCTTTGCGTATTTTCTTTTGACCACTATTATTTCTTTATTTATCAATCGATTTTATTCAGTAGTGACTTGATATTTTTTTTGTAAGAGAACAGGCTTTAGAACAGATGCAAAAATTTAGCCAGAACCTGTTATTTTAATAATTTTTCTTCTGTTAAAGTTAGATTATTTTCATTTTTTCATTACAAATTAAAAAAAAATAACTGGAATGATTAAATAACTTGTCAGACACTATAAGTCCTATCGGAAAGTGATGTATACATGGTTTATGGAGAATTTTTTTAGCTTTCATTTGCCGTACTTCATATTATGATTATTAAATTGCTTCGTAAGATATACGTGATTAAGTTGAACCACTTTTTGTTTTAAGCTGAATAACGGTAAATTGCAAATATCTCAAAAACGTATCCATAGAAACAAACAAGTAATTTTTAGCAAAAAAAAACCGACTTCAACTCTCATATAAAAAAAAATATATATATATATCTCATGATCCACTGATCGGATCTTAACCAGATTAGTATGAGACACTACCTTTCCGATGCAAAAAAAAATTTCGAAATCGGTTGACGTGGTCCAAAGTTATGCGGTAACATACATAAAAAAAAAAAAAAAAAAAATATTCCGACGAACTGATAACCCCCTCCTTTTTTGAAAGTCGGTTAAAAAGTAATTCGCTTCTCTGAATCACCGAGCAATTCTACATAGAAATTGGATAGTGCCGTCTGGAGGACAAAAACCAAACTAAAATTTGTATTCCAGTGTTATCAGTACGGGTCGGAATCTCATGCAATTGCATGTTTTTATTGGGCATGTTCAAAACGAAATGGTTAAGTTATCTTTACGAATCCTGAAATTTCCTTTAAAATGGCATTCAACCGTGGGTGCATATTTTTTGCCTTTTTTTGATTTACAACCATTTAAATTTAGTGCGAAATCTCTTGCCAAAAAAATCCCTATAATTTTTTCTTAAATATTCATCTGAATATCTTCTCAAATAGCCAAGCGGCCATTGAGGTACTCTCTTCTACTTCTGTTAAATCTCAACTAGTGGAAGACTAGGAGAGAGCTGGCCTATATCTCTGATGAATACAAAATTACCCTAATATGGTTCTTGGCACATAGGGAGGATCAGGGAGATAACAGCAACAATTACCGAAATTTATCACTCGAAGGCTAAGCAGAGGTGGAACCGTGCAGGATCGTACAGGATTTCCCGGCAGTTCTGGGTGTCTTACGACCCACTTAGACCAAAACTCTCTTAGGAATGAGCAAAGAAGGTACCTACTAACCTACTGCAGTGTGCATAGGGCACTGGCTCAAAAGAGACAGTCGAACACTTCCTGTGTCTAGCCCTTGCAAGGATGAAGCTAAACACACTCTTCAAGCCATTCCTGCAGTATGTTTTAGAGTGACATCTCTCTGTATGACGTACTGAAATTCATTAAAACCGCCAAATGGCTGTAGGTTGCACGAGGTGTGGAATCAAAATGACAAACTTTCTCACAATATTGTATCTGACTGCTTGATTATAAACTAATTTTATACAAAAATATGTATTGTATTTTGAAGTGAATTGTTTTCGTTATTTTCTTGTTAAAATACATGTGTTATTTATTTTTGTACCGGCAGTAAAATATTAGGAAAATATTTTTAATTGCATATTTTGCTTGTTTATAGCGCATATTTTGGAATTTTGGGTGCATATTTTATGCGCATATTTTCGATTTTTTAGTGCATAAGATTCCGAGCCGTAATTATCGGGTACGCGAATGCAACTAATTGTGAACGGTAGTTGGACTTTATGAATTTCATTGCAGAGTACAAGACTCACAGTTATACGTTGTACAAAAAATTGAAAATATACAGCACGGAGCTGTTTTCAACAGTGGATATTACAATGTTGTTGCCGGAATTCAAGCAATGGCATAGCTTTATGTTGCATTTCCAGTGCCTTATATTCCTTTGATTCCAAAACCTCCAACTCTTCTTCGCTTTTCTTAAAACGAGTATTTCGGATATTGAAAATTCATCCTTGTTATAGCGGCTGATGTTCAGATGAAAACAGAGTTTGAAGATTTAAACTAACTATTTATTAATCAAAGTAGATACAATATAGGTTACATCAAAAAACGCGTGGAGCTCGGTTACTAACGTATAGCCAGAAGAGAGATTACGAACGAAAAAGGAAGAGAAAAGCACGACTAACCAGCAACAGCAGAATGTCTGGTGAAACACACCAACGATAATGCAGGGTTGCCTTATACCGATTGCTAACATTCCCCTTGTCCTAATTTATTGGCTAGGTATCTGGAAACGTACTGTTTGCTTGCGCGGTCTCTCCGATCGACGGAGAGTGGGTACGCCTGTCTGTTCGTTGGAGTTGTTATCGCTGTCTTGCGCAAGGGTCGTTGGATGATCGTTCCTAGTTTGCGGTGCGCAGTTATGGGTGGTTATATTATTTGGATCTACGTCTCACTCTATCTCATCGTCTACCGGCTCGCAGGTGGGAGGTGCTGCCGCTCTCCGTATTTGGTTTTGATGTCTTCTAATTATGCCCCTTGGTGTTGTTATGTTGTACATCATGGGTCCCAATACTTGGATTATTTTACCTGTAATCCATTTGATTTTCCCTGAAAAGTTTCGGGCTTGGACTTCTTGTCCTATACTGAACTCCGATTTGGAGTGGTTAGGTACGTGCTGGTTTGAAAAAAGTGCTGAAAGTAGCGTACGAGGCTGTCGACCATGTAGTATCTCTGCAAGGGATTTCCCTGTGATCGGATTTGGGGTTGAGAGGTACGTAGCTAGATATTTACATAGAGCCTTTTCTTTA